GTATAAACACCATTTTGAAATGAATCGGAACTACCCAGAAAATGTAGTGGGCCTATTCCGAAAGTTTATACTCCTCGAAGCAGCAACGGAAAACAGGTTATAAAGAGAATATGTTTTGCGTTATTTTGAAACATTGAAGCAGAATACTGTTGCTATCCTTTTGCGATAAAGTGTTATGATAGTTCATTGTATGCAACTTGAAGATTTTCATACTGAATAGTACCTGATCTATGCAATATATAAAACTGTCTGATACGCATCGTTACAGTGTGCTCTCCATAGTTGATGATCTTTGTCGATCAGATGACGATTCACACGCTCAAGAGTCATTTATCAACTTTGAGACTGAACTTATTAGTTATGATTTGACCTTATACCTGACTAATTTTAATTTTTAAAGTGCCTTTCCTAGACTATTTGACTGTTTGTCATAGTCTATTGAATGGTAAGTTATCTTGTAATGTTAATGCAGTTTGCTCAAGAATTTTTCAGAAAAGTCAATATTTTATGAACTGTATAATTTGCAATTATTTAGAAGGGTATTTTGAATTCCGAAACCAAATGAAATTTATTCTTCAAGGTTGATGGTAGCACCTAGTTGTGGAAAGCAGAGCAAATGAGTGAAATTTGCAGAGGATGCCACTAGGATGGCGGTCTAGTCTATTGATCATGGAGTTCTAGTGCTTTAAGAATCGCTTACTACACTCTGATTACAGCATATCTGTTATTTTTCTTTCAGTGGCATAGATACTTCAATACACGAATACAAGCTGTCAATCATTCTACACGCCAACTGACTATTTAGTTCATACTTTCAACTTCCTGTAATGAATTGCTGAGTAAAAATCTGAATAATTTACAACTGTAACTGAATCGATAACTGATGAATGTACTTCTAACAAAACAAAAATTAAATGATCAACATTCAGTTCTCACTATATAAATATATATGTATATGCCTATTTGTTTGAATGTGATAAAGTGTGTATCTGTGCACGCGTATGTGCTAATTTCTACACTAAACTTAACTATAAATAATTTATTTTGCAGCAAAGTTGAGTCAAGCAGACAAATCAAAACAATAACATAGAATAAGTATGTTTACTGCTAATAGTAGTACTAGTAATATTCATTTTGATACTTTCTAAATGTACTTTGATAAAAACTATTAACGAAGGGATAGGGGCTAGGAATTTCTGTCAGGAAAAAAAGATTCAAATGCTAATTCTATCTAAATGCATCTCGTTGATGAGATGATGTAATGAAATATTGTCAGGGAAACATCGTGTTCTTTTACTTTTTGAGGAAAATTAATTTTAGATTTATCAATTAATTTACTATTTCACTCAGTTTGAGCCAACTCGATACTACAGATGATTTATACGAGAATAACAAAGAAAAATAGCGCTCGATGTAAACATTTTGAGCAGCCACTGAGAAGATCATTTGGGGACATCATGCACCAGGTCAGTCCCTTGAGTGGAACCTAAGTGGGAAACGACGAGTTCGGCGTCCGAGGCGAGGGTGACATGGAGGAGATGGTGTGAGGAAGAAATGAAAAGTTGTTGGTAGATGTTGAGTCGGGTTGAAAAGACTGCAGAGAAGAGAGTGAAATGGGGAAATGCTACTGAAATCCAATGTTCCACTGGGAACCGAAGGGACAAATAATAAAATAATAATAATAATAACTCTACTATTTGACAAGTTTTTTGACCTTATTCACCGTTTCTTTGGTTCACAAGCCAAGTTTATTTCAGTGCATTTTCTCAGGATTTTAGCTAAAATCACTCGTAAGGTAAACGGATGCCGATTTATTCATTGGATCATTAATTGTGTCCACCAGCTAGTAGACAGAAGACGTCTAGCAAGTATTTCGCAATAAATTTAAGAAAAAATGCAGCCCCTTTGAACCTTGGACCACTAAACCTTTTGCACCAATTATGCAGCACCAGAGTACTTCCTTTCAACTTATTTTGGCAATTCGAAGATTTTCAAGTCATCATGTAGTCTTACGCATTTTAAAAATGTTTTCAGCCAGAAGCTTTCCATATTAGTAATAAAATGAAGAGACGTCGTGGTAGGTGAGAATAGCCTTTTAAACGTACAGCAGTACATCGTATAAGTATTCCTGAAATGGTTAGCTCTAATTACAATATTTCGTACGTGTTTTTAGTTTAAGTAACGACATGTCTACAAATATGGTCATCTTACTTCACAACCCATGAGTGAATTGGTGAGATAAGCTTGGTCGCTGATAGGATACATCACTGGTACATGTATTCACTGTTGACCTAATATGTTATTATCAGTCTAAAAAATTAAAAGTTCTCAGTAAGATAGTTGAATGACTGGGATATTTGTGTGTTTTATGCTTGGAGAAAGCAAATGAACAGAAAACGTGGATGGCTGATGATGCCGAAATATTTAAAACGTTTAAAACCGGCAACATAAAGCCAGACCGAAATCCCGTGGTTATAATGTTAAGTGTTTACTTATGGTAGGAGCCCAAAATAGTATAGCTTAGATGTTGTTAACTAAAGAAGAAATTGTGTTATAATATTTATCACCTTGGGAAAAATATGACTAGGATTTAAAAAATTTAAAAAAGAGGGATTTTCTATTGCTTTCATGAGTTACATTTTACTGCTGTCTTCTACAGTCAAGAGCTTTGAGTATGTTCATTGCCAGTCGCTTGATTTGAAAGGTGTTGGTACTTTGAAAGCAACGTAGCAAATATTTTGAGCTCAGTGGTTTTATTGTAATTTCCAAAGTTAATTTATAGAACGAGTCGAAGCAGTTGGATCTCTCTTCAAACCAACCAGCTGTTTCATAATACACGAATAAGTTTGCTTACAATGTTGACTATTTGGTCCCGCTGACAAAGGCATGTGAGAAAAGCTTTGGAATCACTTAACCTAACTGACCGCTGCACTTAAATAGAACTGTGTGAACTGAAAAACTAAGTGTGTCTTCTCAATTGTCAAAACTTAGTAAAGTGTCCGCTGAATGTTATACAGTGAGAGTAAGAAATATGGTATTAGGCGACGATTTATCACTTGCCTAAGCCGCAAAATGTAAACTTATTAGAATAAGTTCAATGATTGTTCAACACCCAATCTCTAAATTCACTCTGACTATGAATCACAGCAGATAAGAGAATGCATGTCTTCTCTGCACTGGATATGAGTTGTTAGTCTTAATTGCCGGACAAAGAAACTAGATATCATTTAACCACGCTATTAAATAGCATAGATTTAGGTAAGCTTACTAATGTAAAGACAAAATCCAGGTTTTGTAGTTGTGTATGCATTTGGATTGGTTTTCTATGCTGGACACGCGGTACATAGAAGTACAAGTGTTTACTGGATAACATCTTGAGAGTACTTTGTTGTTTTTAAACGGGGTGATCATGAAATGTTCGACATTTACTAGTAAAAGTACTTCTACGTAGCATTATCTAACTTCAGTGGTGGCAGACGTTTGTGTGTATCCGGAATTTGTGATACAAACCCACCATAACACTTTGAATATAGACCAATCAGCCGGAATCTCTACCCATTTAATTAGGTCTGGGTGGATTTCCACTCATTGAAATTTGGATGCGGAAACTTCAGCAACATGCGTTTAGTGATAATGAAGTGGTGAGAAAATTTTTAAAAGTTGGGTTGGGAATGAGTTGGAAAACGTCAACATTTAAAAATGATCATCATTACCCTCACACCCTCGCCTCCTAATATTGTTATTACTATTATTATTATTACTATCGGTAATCTTCTCAGGTAGTTATTTAGGTGATAATCATAAATTTTACATTTGAAAGGAGCACTATTACTAACTGACAAATAAAGCCAGTAATAAAACTTTATCACATTGCTAAAGACAGAAATGGAGAAGGTTCTGGAGTCCAAATGTAGACAAACTACATTCAACTTCACTTATCTAATTCACAGCAACGCAATACCTCATTTTAATAATTTATGCATGCCCTTATATTATTATTTTTGTGGCTAAATAAACTCAAAAGTTTTTTGAAGAAAAAAGTTTTTATTGTTTTTCTGCAAAAGTTAAAAGTATAGAATTTATCAATTCACAATAAAAGTTATTTTTAGCTTTTATTGTGTTTTTATTTTACTTTGGTATTTTTGTATTGTCTTCTTTCTGAAATCTAACTTTATTACTATTTGAATAAAATCAGAAATACTGCACTTTTTAAAATATCATTAGATACCAGCTGTTAATTTAATTGAAATCCGTTCCAACTGATAATCTGTGTGTACAAATTGAGAACGTAAACGATTTGTGCTTCGTGAATTTATGCTCAGTGCTGGTTATTGTTTCTACAGCATTTCAATCATGTATGAACTTCAACTAACCTGTTCAGTAAGTTCCGAATCAAGTGTATAATTCGTTTCAAAATGTAATCATCATTTCATTTAATAATCAAGACAACGAATTAAAAACCTAGTTGATTGGTAGGATGATACAGTTGTATATTTGTTCAGTATGTTATGCAGAATGCAGTAGGATGACTGTGATGTTTTCCATTATTTCCTTTTTTGTATCTTTTTGAAGGCTGGTGAAAATCTACACTACGGATTGTTGATGTTCTTCAGAGATGGCTTTTAAGATGTGAGTCTGTGACGCATATCAGTCAGCACATATTGATTGGCCAACCAGTGAAAAGTTATGTAAGTGGCGTAATGTTTTCGGAATAATTATTGGACATCATTCACCTTACTTTCAGTGATATCCGTTGATGATAACTAGCATATCAGAGGAACATTCTAGTCCAAGACATATGTTTAACATACATATATGGACCTTTAATTATGAATGTCACAAATACGTTTTTTGGTTTCTTTAATAGTAGCTTATCATTCTTACAGATCAACATAGATTTATGTACACGAACGTGGTTCGTAATCAGTCAAGTGTATTGATGATGATAAAAAACAAACAGAAAATCAAAACATTCACACTAGTAACAGCAAGAAACTCACCTTTCTCGTCATTTTCTCTCTCCATTTTGAACAGGTAACGTCTAACAAGTCGTTGCATTATATCAGAATGTGATGTCTCTTGAATTGTTAAGTCTTTGTCTTTCACGACTTTATCTCTTCTCACCTACGTCCCAGTACGAGTTAGTGGAATCCAGAAACATGAAACAAGAGGAAAAAATTTCATGTTCAACAGGAGATCAGGATGAACATTGTTAATACGTATGTACAAGTCATAGGTAAAAAGAAAAATCTGCAGCTTTTACTTACACCGAACCACGTTTAGTATTTGTTCATCGGAATTACAGTTGATATCTGGCTATCCATAAAGTATTCTTGTGATTTACTGGGAAGTATACGGGTGACTGGTGGAAGAAACTAGACTCATCTCTATCTGTGAAGGTATTTTTTTCTTTCAAGCTGTCATTTTCATACAGTATCATAGTCTACCAGAAACAGCTATCATACACAATCTATTTACCATTCCATTCTCTATCTCTTCCAACCTGTTCTAATTAGATTAAACAAAAAAGAGGTGAATAGGGAGAAAATATGCTTAGTATAATTGGTATGGCAGTGTTAAAGTGAATGTTTTGTTATTATTAATGCACTAGGTGGTGATGCAAAAGAGGACAAAATTAAGGTAAGGGTTGGCTCTTTCCAGTCAGCTGACATAGCACTGCAATGATAAATCTAAGGTGACCTAATTTTTATTTAGGGTTTAACTATAAATCTTATCTCCAAACATAGTATTTACTTTATTAACTTGAACAAATAGCAAACTTTAATTTCACCGAAACTTTTTGTGCTTAGATAAGGTTATCATATAAATTTGAAACGATTTTGTTTTTAATGTCATCTAACCCTAGTTTCTCCAAAATAAACTTTAATGTGAATGTGCAAATAAAAACGGTTGGTAATGGAACACAATTTCTTTTCTCCTTATCTCTCCATCTACAAAAAATAAACTTATATCGTGTTTACATTGAACTGTGTATTTGTACACTTTTACAAGCCTAAAATTGTGATAATTCTATCTTTTTATGACTTTCATTAGGCCATTAGTCCAACTTTGGGATCGAAGAGTTCACATCCTCTCTGTGTTTCTTTAATGATTGTCAAACTGTTGTGGAAACCACTGATTGCATATTATTTTATGCTGGAAAAGTCACAATGAAACGTTTCGACTGGGAGTTGCACCACACTGCGTCAAACGCAAGGTAAAGTGTTCGTTTTATGAACAGATGATTGGATTATAAGCCACTCAAATGGTTTTTTGGTAGATTCTTCAAAGTTCAAATCGGAGTTTATCCGTCTGATTCCATGAAGTTCTACAGTTTATAAGTAGTAAAATGCATCAAATACAAAACCAATTCACGCTCCTAATTTTCATTCATGAGATCTCAGTTCTAATACTGTTTAATGATGACAGGTGTTTAAGAGCTTAGTTAAAAAATATTCTAAACACATCCTCATTTGTAATCTAGGGGAGTGAAAAATTGAAGCTAATGCTCCATTGGACAATCATCATATCCCACTCCTAATAGTTGTCTGGTTGAAGGAAGAGTCAAGTATTCGACCAAAAGAAGCCTACTTTAGCAGGCTTTGAGTATAAGGTTTGAAAACATTCCGAAGAACCTATTGATAGCATTCCTGTGTCTACCACTTTTAGCATTATTGAAGAGTGTAGAATTTCTTACGGCAAACTATTTTCACTCAGTAATTTCATAGCTATTAGTTAACACTTATCTTGATAATTATGCCTTTATTTTTTAACGCCTAATTTTATAGTCTTATCTTCGGACAAATAAATAAACTGCTTTTTGTCTTGTCCCCCTTGAATATTGTTAAAATTTGGACAAATGTACAGGAAAATAAAGGTGTTCAGTTGAAGCTTCCAAGTTGACAGGCAATTAATTATATTTCAAAGCAGGCCATTATTTCGATACCTGAGCTCATACATACCCAAGTTGTTCAACTGGCCAACTGAGATGACAGTTTGTGCAAAAAAAGGTAGTTTAAAACAGACGGTAAAATTGTTTCGCCTTTTTAATCTTCGACAATAATTAATACTTGGTAAAACTGATGTCATTAGTAATGCTTATAATGCGTATTTTGGACTAAATTTAGTTGATAAAATGGAATTATTTTATATTACTTGTGAGAGGTATTTTCAATATGTGAAAATTAGCATACAATTTTGTTTCGGTCAGTATTGATTTACGTCGTAAATAGGAAGAATATGATTCGCTATTTTTCTTTTTGAACCAACTTTTGTCCCGAAATTATTTCCTTGAAGACTACTTTACAGGATGATAGCCCAAAGTTAATTAGTTGCCTGAGTCGAAGTTGATTTCCCGATGTTCCAACAAGTAGCCTCGATCTTTGAGTCCAGTCCAAGTGAATATGAAGACAACTTCATGTCAGTAACATCAGATGATGGTCGAGCTACTTTGTGCGTTGACAGAAACTAGAGAACATAAATCAATGGATTCTAACTCAGTAGTTGATTAGTAACTTACCTGCCATAAGGCTTTATGGCTCTACCTCCAATTACTCATGGAATGGTGGACACTAACAAGGATTCTCAAAACAGGTTGGAACACATTTTAGTCAGACTCTAGTTTCCCATTGTTCATTAGCTGAATGGCGATAAGGGACAAGAACTACTATGAAATAGGTCATTTCTCCTCAAACTCGCTTTTTAAGAAACTACCTTGATTCACTTACTTCTAAAATATATTCACATGTTTTGGCTAGTGTTAATGCTTAATTAATGAAAATGATTCTGAGAAAGTATTTATTGAAAGTCATGCATAGTGCATAAGTGCGATTCATTTAATAATGCCTTTTAGAAGGCTATTACAGTCTTCTTGTTATGAGATAATGTCTTTGAAAAGTATTTGCCTTTTGAGATGATACAGTCACTAAAACAGGAAATGGACAACAGTTTCATTTTATTTATAGGGGTATTTTAAATTTGAACGACAGACCTCTGGCTTCCAGGTTTATATTTCTCCTTATTTTAAATCAACGGGATTCAAATTCAGCGCACTAGGCATCATAATGAGTACTATATCATCAGGACAAATTTAGCAGTAAAGTACTAAGTTTAATTAAATATGAATCTGGAGTGGAAATGACGATTAAATGCCAAACGTAAAATCGTTGTCAATTCTCATAAGTAAATCATTTGAGAAAGGTTGCTATGAGAATTATCGTTTTCTGTAGTTGAATGAAATTTATTGTGTTCAACAGGTCCTACTGTTTCAAGGGTTGGACAAGCTTAGAAGTATCACATAGTGTAATGGGACTTATTGGTCTAAGAAACAGCTTATCGTCTCCAGAGGCTGACAAAAATTGCAGCTTGTTACATCAACAGTGAGTCCTAGGATAGAGGGGAATAACCATTTATTCATGAGACCGAGAGTGAAATGCCTCTTTTTGAGAATAAGCACAAGTTCCCGTTCTATAAGTTTTGTTTATTTGGCTTCGGGTACTTTTCAAAGATGAATTTTCGTCAAAGTGAATTCACAATTCGGAAGTGAGTGGGATGAACAGAAACAAAATCGTGTCTTTACTACAATAAACGACTTAACTACATAGACTCCTTTGAAGCTCAAATGTATTATTGTGGGAGTATGGATTATGAAAATTTCTTGAAAATTTTTCTGGACTAGAGTCTTGAAAGACGGATTCAGTGGCTCATCTGTCATCTATGAAGATGGAGTATTTTCTGTGTCGTTTAATGCAACAAGGGTGTTCTTAGTGCTAAAAATAGTGTTGTACAACAGTTCACTACAAAAAAGAACTTATGTAGGTACGCCCAACAAATTATTTAGTGAATCTGACTAATTAAGATGTTGGGACAGACACAAATGAAGTGATTGACTAGTTGATTAGAACATATCAAAGATTGAATGGACATAAACTAAATCAAATTTCAGTCAATCACTTCAATATTTTCAGTATAAAGCCTGAAGCTTGTTACACCAGTCCCCGTAAAAGGTATAGTCTGTTTATTCATTTATGGATACTTGTAGGCTGAAACAAAGCCACCGATCATTGTGTTTCAGTCTTTCAAAACAGACTGAAAAATATTGCAGTCTTTTCTAAGTGAGACCAAAGGACCCACAATAAACTAAGTTTGGTTGTAACAGTTTTATTGAACAGTCATGGTATAAAATATTTTAAAACCTTCAACGACCGTACTTAAGGTATATGCTTCTCACTATCTGAACCCTGAAAGCATAAATATCAATCGAAAATATTTATAATTTGCTAAAGAACAATGGGTTACTTTCATGAGCGAAAAAGCTGATTTTAATAGGTGACAAAATGTATTTAGCTTATGAAAGATAATTGATGCCAGAGTGGGAAGTTTGGAAACTATGGCCACTTAGAAAAATTCCCAGAGCATCCTGATCTACGGGTGTGCAAATCCTGCAACTGACTGATGATACTTCAGTGTCTGATATGGGCCACAGGATTTATATCTTGCTAAATATATAGGTAAACTTGGCAGGTAAAATGCTATTCAACAACCTCAATGAGGAAGGTAGTACAGTTTAAGTTTGTATCCGTTATCAGTTAAGATACAGAATTGTTTCAGAAAAGATATTTTGATATTTGGTGATAATGTTATCTGCCAAAAATTTTAATGGTAGCAAGAATAAGTGACGGATTAAAAGATTGATAAATACTTTAACGAATCACTTTATTATGGCAAGGGAGATGCTAAGTATCAGGATCTGTAAATGACGCTCGCATTAGTTAAGCATAATGAAGCAGTAATATTTTGATTTGAGGTGCAAACTTTGGCTGCTGCTCGACTGATTCCTCTTCCCCATGCTGTGAAGTGAGTCAATCTTTTCTACTTAAATTCAAGTTGCTGGAAGTTTGAAAGCGTATTTTGTTGCTTTGTTGCAAATTTACTCACTTCAATCTGGTTCCTATGTGGCATAAAAGTTTCTAGAGGCTTAGTCTGGCTTTCATTTTAAGTAGTTCGTACGTAATCCTAGCACTGGTGTTTAAATAGGTATTGGTGTTAAAAACCACTATTTTTCTTGTCTTGACATGTTGTTAAATAGCACTAAAGTTGATACTGGGCAATGATTGGAGGTCAAA